TACTTGTATGAGCAAAGGATTGTCGCGATAACACAAGAGAAGTATTTGTGCAAATAGATAGGCTTTGACTTTATTATTTAAATATAAGAGAGGCAAGGAGAATTATGTTGCTGATGCATTCTCTAAGAGATACAAGGATGGTTAGTTGATTGTAATCTCTACACCGAGTATCGACTCGCTTGATTCAATCAAAGAGAAAGTCCGTAACAATGCCATCTTACGAGTGCTTTGTGAAGTTATATCAATAAGGAGAAGTTATCGACCCTTAGGAATTCAAAGAAGGTATTATTTATTTTAAACCTCAAGTACTTAAAATAGAAGCCATGATTGTTGGGAAAAAGGTTCGTTATGTGGACCGACCAAAGAAGCCTCAAGTACTTATGGGAGGAAAGGATTGTCATGTAGCATAAGAGAAGTGTTTGTCCAAATGGATAGACTTTGACTTCATTATTGAATATAAGAAAGGCAAGGAGAATTGTGTTTCGATGTACTCTCTAAGAGATACGAGGATGGGCGATTGATTGTAATCTCTACACCGATGCGACTCGCTTGATTCAATCAAAGAGGAAGTCTATTACAATGCCATCTTACAACACCTTGTGAAGTTATGTCAATAAGGAGAACTTGTCGGCCATTAAGAATTCGGAGAAGGTATTCTTTATTTTAAGTAAAGAATATATCTTTTGGCTGAATCTTCTTTGGTTCCACTATTGTTAGGGAGACACACTCTAGTAACAATGAAGGGTACCATAAAACTTTATAGAGGACCAAAATAGTTTTTTCTTAACAAGGGACGAGGAGAACCATTCTAGAACTTATACGAAGTTGTGAAACTTGTCGGAGGCATCAATCGGAGGGTAGCAACCCTACGAGATATTTGTAGCCCCTCTTGATTCCTACTAAAGTTTGAGATGATATATCTATGGATTTTGTGAAAGGCCTTCGATTTCTAAATGCACGTCAATAATTTTTATGGTGGTTAATAAGCTTTCTAAGTTTGCTTACTTCATTTCTATTTCTCATCCATACTCGGTATAACGGCCCAACTCCCTTATCAATTACCTAAAAGGCGTAGCTAGATGCGTCACGGTTTAGAGATCGACATCTCAAATTTACTCCCATACAACATGCACAATGTACTAAATATCATTACAAAAGTTACAAAATATAAATTAGAAGCACAAGGGACTCCTATATTTTTTGTGTCACACATGAGCCCTTTTCTAAGAGGAACCGACAGCCTTCATTATCGGCATTATTATCGTCTTTACCTATCATGGCATGAAATAAATACTAAGTGAGCCGAAACTCGGTAAGTAGGGTGATGCACATGATATGCAATGATTTTCCGACTCCCTTATTTCGACTCATTAAATTTTACTTCGGGTACCACTAGGTATTAGTAAATCTGCTCTATTTTCATATCTTGATGATTATCGAATCACCTACGACTAACAACGGAATTATCCCTTGTTGTAGCCTCGGTTAGCAGGATTATCCATCGCTTACCGGTATAGTCACATAGATTAGCCACACGGAATAGAGCACGTACACGACTTCGGTGCTAATACCCATTTAATCCAATTAGGTTACTAAACCTATCTAATTCAATCCGATTCGATTACCAAACCTCATCACTTCGACTCAATTATTTTCCTCAATTTAATCCATTCCACGTATGCATATGATACACATGATGTATCATTAACCATATTCCATCAAAACATATTCCATACCATCGGGGTCACGGAAGGAAAATAAGACCTGTCTAATCCATTTCGGTATTTGAATCCTAGGAATACGTTGAGGCGTATTTGTGGTAGGTTTTCCTTCTAATTCGAAATTTAGCCTTAAAATTCAAACTTTATTTTTAATGAATCTATGTCTTAATTTTAATTATCTTGCACTCTTACCTTCCTATACTTCATTTTATACTTATTTAGATGTCATTGGGCCATTACTTATGAAGTTGGATGATTGAAACTCAATTTCTAAAAACTAGGGTTTAGGTCGAGTGTTTCCGAGTTTAAATCAAAAGTTTTTTTTTCTTGAAATCTAACTTTTCTATACCTCAATTTATATTTATTTAGGTGTATTTAAATCATTAATTCTCAAGTTGGATGAATGGAACTCAAATCCTTAACTTTTTTGGGTTTAGGCCGAATGGGTCTATAAAGGGCAAAGGATTTTCTTTTATTTCTATGTAATCTCTTTTCATCCTAACTCACTAAGTTATACTTTAATGAGTTGCCATGGAGTTCTAGATCTTTAGATCCATAAAATAAATCCAAACTTAGCCTTTTTAGTACTTAAGCCGAATGGGTTTTCTTAAAGATGTCCAAGCCCATTTTGTTTTAATCCAAGCTCATCCACACACATTTTCCAAGCCCATGTTGTTGTAACCAAACCAAACCCATCCATTCATGTATAAACATCTATCACACATAGATCACACATAGATACATCAATATGCCAACCATCTATCATTATACTTGTACAATCCAACATAAAGTTCACCATTAAATGCACATCATGCCAACTACCACATATGACAACCATAATGAACATAAACCAACATAAACAATATGATGGGAAGTCTCCATTAACCTCCTCATTTAAGCACATATACAAAAAATTTAAAGCATAACATAAAATAACATAAACCTACTTACATTGCTTTAGGTTTGCTAAAGATTGTCTAGGCTTTCCCTTTTTCTTTTCTCCTTTCTTTCTTTTCTTCTCTTTTTCCATCTCTCTCCCTCTCAAAGCCGTTTCTCTCCTTCTCTTTTGGTAGCTACGGTTTTATCTCCAAAAATGACAAAGTTTCAATCTTTCTTACATTTTTATATCACATTTTTTATCTTCATTTATTAGTATTCCAAGTGTCAAAATTTTATGATAAAAAGGGGTCAAATGATGGAGACTAAGTGGGAGGCAAGTTGATAATTTAAAAATCAAAGTAGGCTAGGTGTCATAATTTAGAAAAAAAGGTAGTAGATTTGGTGTCAAATCAATAACTAAAGATGGAAACTAAAAGGTAACTAAACTAATTAAATTAACCAACTTCCTAACTTCATTTGGTTCCCAAAATTTTGGCCCATACGCCATGTTTGGGAAATTCTTTCACTTCCATGGTCTTTTAAATATATGTTATGGGAAAATAAATAATGACTAGTCAAATTCTCAAAAAGTTATTCCTATAAGCACTTCTATAAACCTTAGATACTTTAACGCCACAAAATATAAAAGAAATGGCACATAAATTACACCCACATAATTATGGATATTCCGGGAGATATTCTTTCCGGAATTAAAATTTCGACGTGCCTAAATTATTATTATTATTAGTATTATTCATAACTCCTCACATAAACACGAAGCATATTAACCTCACCAAACATGAACATGACATATAAATCACAATTTAGACTTAGTAGATGCGGATATAAAAGTTTCGGTATGTATAACTATGTTAAGGAGTTTTACAAGGGTTACACTCAGCCTCTACTATAGCCCCAAGTCTTTTTCAATTATATTTTTAAGTCTGTATGGGATGCCTAAAAGCATTATTTGTGATAGAGACCCTACTTTCACTAGTTGGTTTTGGTAAGATCTCTTTAAATTGTAGGGTACCGGTTTCAATTTCAGCTCATCCTCAAAATGATGGACAAATAGAGGTGGTAAACTAGACAGTGAAGATACACCTACGATGTTTTACTAGTCATAGGCTAAAAGAATGGACATGATGGATTGCTTGGGTTGAGTATTGTTACAACATTAGTACTCATTCTTCCATAAAGAAAACTCCTTTTGAGATTGCTTATGGAAAGCCTCTACCAACGCTATTATTATCTTATGTACTAGGAACTTCTCCGGTGGAATCTATAGATGAGGAATTATGAGGGCGAGAGTAGGTTCTCAAGGAGTTATGGGATCAACCGAACACAACCCAACAATGCATGAAGAAATACTATGATACCCACAAAGCCGATCGAAGTTTTGAAATTAGAGATTTAGTTTTTCCGAAGTTACGGCCATATCGACAAGCATCATTGGCTCTTCGAAGAAATCTCAAATTAGCCTTTAAGTACCGTAGCCCATTTAAGGTTATTGGGAAAATAGGTATTGTTGCATATAAACTCAAACTACTCGAAGGTTCCAAACTTTACCCAATGCTTCATGTCTCATTACTTAAGAAAAAGGTTAGTGAGAAGGAAATCATTCAAGAGTTCATACCAATGATTCCGAGTCAAGAAGACTCGATCAGCCTTCTACCCTAAGCCATTTTGAACCGTCGTTGGCAAAAACGAAGGGAGCACGTTCGGTTCATTAGCATGGGTCGTCGCTAGTAGATGCAACATTGGAAGATTATGATGAACTCAAACCGTGATTCCTCGGTGTTATCCTTGAGGACAAGGATGCTCTCTAGGTGAAAGGAATGTCATGTATGACCAGTTCTTTTATTTTTTGTAGGATCTACACTAAAATTCGAGTTTTGAATGAGTCATAAAATAGTTGTTGAATTGTTCTAGTTGTCTTTAGTAGTTGTTAAGATTAGTAGGGGATTTTAGTGCTAAATAGTACCGAATATTAGGGATGAGTGGTTGAGTTTTTTCTTTATTTATTTGGAAGTTCTGAAGGGAAATAAAGCAGATTTGACTTAAACATTTTGTTATGCTAAGGAGGCACAGGTTTCTCTCGAAGTAAACCAACTCATTCTTTTTTTTTTACACGGTTATTTACCCATACCTGCACTTCTACTAAAATAAAAATATCTCTTGACTTTTCCATTCACCATAGGTAAGGAGGGGAAGACCAACCCACATCAGCTTATACTCTAGCTCACGCAAGACCTACCAACAGGTCTGTTACTGCTGGATGTAACATGGTATCATCGTGACTTCTTTCGAGCACTTAAATCAAACCCATCTTATTAATTCTGTTGAAATCAAATAATCCGAAGCCAAACAAGGACAAGAAAAGTCATGAGAATTTTGCATCTAACCGCCCGTTTGAGGCTTCAATTCTTCAACCTTTTTAATCTTTTTGGTTGGAACCTCTACAGCGTAGAATTCATTATTCTCGCATCAGATTTTGTGTAAACACATGCAGTCAGCAAATCATTCACATCAATTAGATATATTTATTTTAGATGGGAGTTAAAAATTACAACATAAAAAGCAAACTTATCTATCATTAAAGTCAAATTCGAAAAGTCTAATGAATATGTTATTAATTATCAGTGAAATGATGATGTATGCCTAAAATGATCTGTTTATTCCTTTGAAACAACAAAAGGAGAAAAGATCAAAGATTTGGACATTAAATTTATTAGTGAATATATATATATATATAGGTAGCCGCTTTGCAGTGAAGAATACTTGCCACCTAAATAATTTATTCCAAGACATAACACTCTAATTTGGCTGCTCAGATTTTGTTAAATTTCAACCGTGCAATGCAAACACACCGCTCGTTTTCCCACGCATATTTATAACGGCTGATATTCAATGAAATTGGATTTATCTATTATTGTTTTTTTGCTGGTACCAAGATTTTATTTGCGCTTTACATAAATAACTACGTTATGTTTAGTGTTTTTTTTTTTAATGAATCTATTATATTTTTTTTATGTTATCTACATGGAAATCTTACATCTTAAAATTATAATGTTTTTTAATGATATTAAATTATTAAAAAAATTATTGTTATTATGCTTAATTAAAAAACTGTAAAATTTATGTGAATTGAAATATATTTTTTAATAGTTATAATATATTTACAACATTATTATAACTGTTATTTTTATACCACGGAAAACTACGATTTGCAATAGCAATCTCAACTGCTTTTATAATCACTTTTGCTATTTTAAACTATGTTCCCATTGTTAGGCTCTTGGCACTTGCCAATCGCCACTTCAAATTCTATGTTCACCTTTCTCTTTTTGGAAATATGCATATGGCCTTGTTTCTAAAAATTCCCCACTTCCCAAATCTCGTGAGTTTATTAATCTTCCAACCTAGAGGTTTTAAGCCTTTTCTGGCCCCCTTTTCTTTCTGCTAACCTATAAAATTCAAGGCTCTCGAGAGTCTTGAATTTGTTTTCCGACTTTTTCATTTATTGAACAACTTATAAAAGTTTGTTTTAATATTTTCAAATTTCTGGCTATCGGACAAAATATCTAGAAGCACTTCGTCTCTTTTGGGTATTCCAGTTATTTTCAACATTAGATAAGAGTTTGGTCAATAATGTGTTCTGAATTTCTGTCATTGAGAGTAGATGATCTGGGGCCCAATGCATGGGCCCGCAAACACGTAAAGGTCATGCATGAATAATCCTAAGGTGGCTCATTAATTTAATTCTGAGGGGTCCAATAAGTACTCGTGAGGCCTGACTGATTCAATATGCAACAATCCTCCTTCCTCGTGAGCCACCAATCGGACTCATAAAGCCCATTTCAATTGACAATCACATCAACTTACTTATGTGCCTGTCCAAAATTTATGCCCGCACCCAACGATTGTTCGTGCTCAGGATGACAGAGCATCCACGAAACTAAGTCCACTGTTGTTCACAATACACAATAGCTGTCACAACTTACGTTCCCCCTATATTATCCCCATATGTGACCTCACTGCTTGGGACCTAACTCCACTTCGTAACTTTAGCCCATTCACTAATATGTTTTAGCATTGCTTCATCAACTCTAGGGAATAGAAAAGGGGTAATGTTACCATCCCAAGTAATATAAACAGCATATAAATGATCAGTGGAGGAAAGGAAATTGAAAGGACTAATGGTAGGTAGCCAGTGAATATCGACCATAAATGAATGAATATGTCAAAATCTTACAATCAGGAAAAAGATTCTGTGTTGGCTTGACTCAGTAATAATCCTCAGCATTGTGATGATCATCCTCTTCATTTTCAAAATACATATCGTTATAGTAGTCATTATCACCTGCATCAAATTCTCCATAATCATGTTCGTACTCCTCATTTTCTTCGCCAGCACCAGAACTGTGTTCTTCAGGGATGGAGTTCTCATCCACCTGCTGTACGTCAGTAGGATAGGCATTAGAGTGTTCACCATCTTCTGCCTTTCCGGGAACCTCCTCCTGTGATCATACAGCATAAATTAATTTCTGACCATTAGGAAAAGTAACTTCAAAGAAGATAAAAGAACTGAAAGTATGCAGAAGTTTGAAAATAATTCAAACAGAGCATTGATGGTAACAGAAAATAAACCACCAATGTCAGTCATACAATGCAGATGGAAGCAATAGCATGTTTCTATAGCTTGCACGGTAGGTATAAGTTCAATTTGGTCGCTAAATTTGCAGAGTTTATGTCAACCTTGTACACTAGAAGGTGATTATTTCACTCAACATATGTCTTAAGAGTTCTATTAGTTCAACATCACTTCTCTACTTATTTTCGTTGATAGAAATATCAATTATATTGATAGACGCAAATGAAGTGCTCCTGCCAGGTTTAATGAAATTTTGTCACCACTCGAATAAGTTGATAGCTCCTAACTCCGTCACCTAGCCCTACATTAAACTTTCAAGAAATACAGAGAGAGCAGCTTCCTTTTTTTTTTCTTTCTTTTTTCTTCCAAGGAAAAATAAAGTAGGGAATTTAATCCACAAAAAAAAAAAAAAAAAAAGGGAAGTAGAGAAGCGTACAGGTTCATCACCCAATATCTTCTTCAAGACATCATAGTTGATTTTCGAACTCAATCTCTGGAAAGACAAAACAAAACATTAGTATCTCCATCAAACGGATAAGTTACTAATAGGACCACAAACTTCTAACATAATAGTAAAAGATTTAACATTAAAGCTGATGGGAAACAAACTTGAACATGCTAAAATTTCCAAATTGATTCTGACTTGTGCAAAAACCTCAATAAGCAGAAAATGCTTACTTCATTATTTCATATGATAGAGAAAAGAAAGCACAGAAAAACATGTTTGCTTTGAGGACTGACACACTAACACTGTCATTTTTAATAAAACTGGAAGATAGCAGAATTAAAACAAGATACTATTCATCTTGCCACCAACTGTTTATTCTTACCGTCTTATTCTCTGTCTGGCCAGAAATTTTAATGGCTTTCTTAGCAGGTGTACTTTTCTTTACCTTTCTTGCTCCTTTCAGTTGTTTTCCCTGCAAACAAAGACCCCAAACAGAGAAGATCAATAACTGAAATCTGATAGTCACACAAGAATAGTGGTAATCCATGCATTCCTTTGATAGAAACAATATATCTTCAGCAGGTTCTTACATGGACATGAGCAAAGATACTAACAGACCGATAACTTGAAATGGCAGAATTCTGAGGGAAGACATTACCTCCAAATATTTCTTGTTAATCATTTCCCAAAGGGTTCTTTTGAATTCCATCTCTTTCTCATTGTGAAGAAGGTAACCAGAAATCTATAAAGCATATGAAACTTGGTCAACATCCAAAGTTGAGCATTAAATTAGAAAAAATAAAGCCATCTACAAAACTTAATTTATGACAGAGCTTGGTGAAGGAATTTGATATGCTAATTTAATACATGTCTTTACAGGCAACGAAAGCAACATCAAAGGAAATTCAGATCGGTTGTATGTTAAGGATACAAGACCCAAGTAAATATGGTATTCAAAGCCAAAGGTATAACTTTTCATATTGGCAGTTCTGTACATTGGCATAAGGTGGTTGACTTACAACGGCAATAATTTCTTCACATCAAAGTCCTTTCAATGAGATGGCAAATCCAAGTTTCTTAATGGGGCATTGAACCAACCTTGTGATCATAACCCTTTTTTTTAACATCATTTGGAAGATTGAGCTCCTAAAGCAACTAAAAGGAAGAAATATTGAATACCTCAGCATCATCAATGTCACTGAGGTCTTCTGAGTCATGAGCAACAGCAGTGCTCCTCGATTGACGTCCCACTAACCAATTGGTGGCTTTCTCCATATTTTGATGGCAACCAGAAGCTACTGAAACATCAGAACAACAATTTGATCAATATAAATCCGGAAACAGTTAAATTTCCAACTTTCAAAACAAATAAACAAAAAGGCTTCCCTTACCTTTAGTTCTTTTAAACTTCTCGATGCTCTTAGACTTTCGCGATGCCGAGGCTCCACCTTTGATGGCATTTAGGCCAGGCTTGGAATAAGATTTTACTCCTTTCTCCATCTAAAAAAAAACCCAAGTAACAATAATTAAGACGTTTTGTGACACACATTCCCTTTATTTTATCCTGCACAAAGCAAGTTAACTATACAGAACAATTTCACCATTTTGCACAAAAATCAGATAAGCCAACAAAAATAGTCTCGATGCAACAATTTGACAGCTAAATAGCACCCTAGTATACATATGTTCACGAATTTCATTATCTATTAGAACCAACGCTAGGAGGACCATCCTCCGTCCATGAAATAAAAACATATGCTAGTGTTGATGAGTACACCTATCTCACTAGAGACAAGAAGATTATCACCCCTCATGTTCCACCGAAATTGTTCTAAAATCTTATAAGAGCTAGAGTAACAAATCCCAATTTAAAAGCATACAAAAAATGCCTAAAAAAGCTCATGAGTCAATAATTACATTACACATAAATTTATGGTTCATCAATAAGCAGGGACATTGCATTGTTCCCACATGTAGAGACAAATTACACAGACAGACGCACCTGATGGGAAACGCAAGTGAGATCCACAAGCATATGGATTAACAGTGAAATCTGGACAGGCACGCATCATTTTTTTGCCCAAAATCAACACTGTATGTAGTAAATTAAAACCACATCAATCACAACTTCATTCAAAAAATTTCTTTCATTGTTCTTTATCACTTATGCTCTTTTTTCTTTTTTCTTTTTTACCAGAAAACAAACAAGAAATTGAAAACACCACATCATAAATAAATAAAGAAAGAAAGAAATAACAAGATAGATGAAATCAATCAATAATGACAGCCAAAAACACACGTTGTACGAACAAAATTATTAAATTAGAAAAAAAAAGACATACCGTTAGAGGGCATAAGAGAGACAGGGAGAGAGATGGTTTTGGAAGAGAAAAAAGACAAGACGATCAAAGAAGAGATGGTTTAGGGCGTTTTTAAATTTTGCTGGTTCTTGCGCGGCTACTTTGGTTCTTGCAAAGGTTTTCATTCCTAAGAGAGTCGGTTTGCTTGCCGCTTGGGTTAATAAGAATGGGTAAAGAGTCAGGCCCATTATATTAAACTAGTCAGCCCAGACAAATGGGTTGAGGATTATAATTGTTTATTAACGTACAACTTAATTAAAATATTCCATGTGAAATTCGCCATAAAATGATTGTGGGCTAAATGGATATTAATCAAATAATATTTGGGAAATAAAAAAAGATATATATATATATATATATATATATATATATACATACGCACACACATAAAAAGGCCTTGAGATGTCCTTTGAGGTGTTTCAAGCATGATGGTAAGAGCACGTAATTAAAAGTTATATTATAATTACATATTTTTGGTTTTTTTTGAAGTGCAATTTTTTATTTTTTATTTCCTAAGCTGTGGGGCAATAATAGATTGACCAATTGAGTGCATTGGAAATATTCGATTAACCATCAATGGTCGATGAGATAGTATTTTAAAGACTTCGTAAACTATAGTTATTCAAATAAAATTTCAAACCGTGAGGAATTGGTTTTATATATGGTTAATTTACTTATTATTTTACTAAATATTTGGATTTAAATTCAAAAGAATTCATTAAATTTTTTAAAATATATGAGAACCAGCGTAAAAGGTGCATTTTTCAAATTATTTAAAGAAAAAAACTTGATTTTAATTAATAGGTGAGCTAATTGATTTACTAATATCCTTTATCGTTAAATAAAAAATAACCATATTAGATTTGAGATTGGATCGAGTACGTGGAGAAATTACGTAAATTATACATCCATGTAATTTACGTGGATATATGAACTCATACAATAATTTGTTTTAAGTGACATAAACAAACCATGGAGAGCTGCATGCGGCCAATCGAGCCAACCACTCACTTTTTTCTCTCTCTTCATTGAAGTGAAATGGTCGTCTTGATGGCATTTGGAAAATAAATCAACCAAAAAAACCAAAAAGCATGACCTTATCTTTGACTTAATATGCATAAAAGTGCTCCCATTAATTCTCATATAAATCATATAGCCATAGCAATATGTTAGCAAAATGCATCCACAGCCAACGAATGCGGCAGTAGACGTTAAGCTGAATGGGATGGATGTTCGAGGAAATTAATTAGGCTAGATTATAAGATACTTTTCAAAACTTTAGCGAAAAACAAATATTTTTTAAAAAAAATTATTTATTTTGCTTTCTAAACAATTTAATTTTTTTTTAATTTTATCTATTCTCTAATTAAGGTTTTGATGAATATTTAACAAAAATGCTCATGACAATTCTACAAATCAATTTTCTTTTCTTTTATGGCTTACGAGCTTAGAATTAGAGGGGAAAAGAGCGAAGAATAAAATGAGATTTTATTTTATTTTTTCATCATGATTGCAGAAAAAGAAATTGGAATGTTTGTTACGGCTATTTTTGTCAATTTATCATCAAAATCCTAAAAAAAATACATATTGTGTGGAGGATAAAAGCAGAAAAGTTTTTTTTGTTCAAAAATGTATTTGCTTTCGGGAATATTTTACAATTTTGGAAATTAATCAATAGGACACCAAAATGCCGCTATGCAAGAAGATGAGACCATGGCAGTGGACAAAATTAATTCTATTTCCAGAAATTGTACTGACACGTACCGGAGATAACGGAACGGCAATCACGGAACCAGAGTTCCCTGTTTTTTCTCTGTAGTTTTCTTTATTTCTTTGCCTGTTTCTCACCCTTAACTTGCGTTCTCTGGTCTGATGGCAAAGAAAAAGGGGATGGTTTTGAATGTTCCTGCTCCAAGAGTAGAAGCCTTTTTTTTTTTTTTTTAACATCAACGTTTAAGACTTTTAATAGAACTAGTCTGTTAAGATTTTAAATTATAATCTTTTGTAAAAAATCACTATCATTAGACTAGAAGCTCTTTAAAACTAGAAGCGCTTAGGAGTTGATTAGAAACAAAAGTACAAGAGTGGTGTGGCATAAATTTGTCTGTGAATCCTTTAACATCCTAAGACATAACTTTATCTTTTAGCTTGCAATTTTGAATCGTTTATCCACTAAAGATAGACAAAGTCGAATGAAAAGAAATATCAATACTCGGTTATCTATTATGCGAAAACGCCGATGAGAATAGGAATCATTTATTTTTCGAATGTTTTTATTCTAAAACTGTATGGAATTTTATTCTTCTTAAATATGGATTTCATTGATTAATTAGTATCCGAAGTATAAAATTATAGTGGGCAATAGAGCATTTGTAAAAGAAAAAAATTTCAATCTATTATTACCATATTGGCATGGAATGCAATCATTTATGGTTTGTGAAAAGAAAAAAAAAACTATAAAATCTATAGTAAAAAATTTTTCTCCAAATAATGTGACTAGATGAATTTGTCGGATTATTCGTCGCAGATTGAGTAATTCTAAGTTTTTAGCTGAAACAATGTTTAGTTCAACATTTGAGTGTATTTATATTCAATGGATATTGTCCTAATCTATTTCATATATTTGTCATGGATTTATGCTTTGTAGCAGGGTAAGCTCCTACCTTTTTCTTTTTCTTTTTTCTTTTTTTGTTAAATAGAAAATTTCATTTAGCAAAAAAAAAAGGGATGGTTTTCTTTTTCATTCTCACGTCTGTAAGTTGCCTTTTTAAAACAGAAGTGAGCTTGTTGATCGAGGATCAAGCTAAGCCTATCAGCACTTAACATGATGTTACAATCCAATCTAAAATGAGAGAAGAAATAATTCTTTATTCTATGGTGATGAAAGTTGCTATTGACTTTATTTATTCCGGTTTGGATTACATAAATAGTAGTATAGTTTTGATTTAACGCCCAACAACAATAATTCTTACATGGTGTGGAGGAAAAAGCTGCTGTTTTTCTTACTTTCTTTAGAGAGAAACATATAAAACAATCTTATTTATTGCTTAAATAAAAATAATTCTTTTATTCTATCATTTTTATTCTCTCAGTATAAAGTTGTATAATATTTATTTATTTATTTTGATAAGAGTGATGCTATTTATTTTATTTAAAATTTTAAGTTTTACAAATGGAACAAATTTGTTAAGATATGATAAGGTGGTTGAACTTATTGCATCTCCGAGATGATGTGTAACATATACTTAATCCGTTGCATTGGATAAATTATACGGACGATGCATATATTCTCAAAAAAGCAACTTGGTTGTTTCTCAAGTCGATCACCTAAAAATTTCAATAAAGTTATTTTGATGGTTTGATCATCTTTATACCATATGATAACATGATTTTAATTCCTAAGTTTGCTAATGATCAAGGTAAAAAGTTCTAATTTTTTGTTTATCTTGATTTATAATGAATTTATTTATTTATTGCATGAATTTTTATTATTTAATTATCTTCCTTTGCATGTGCAAAGAACAATAATTTGAGACGATACCTATGCCTGTGATTTTATGCTTAAAAATATGAAAATAATCTTTTGACATGAAATTTAATATTATTTTTTTTATAATGTCAATATCGTTACTTGACTATTGTGATTTTTTATTGGTATTTGATTATTATGCTTAATTGAGCATAAAGCAAGTATTAAAAAAAATCGCAAACATCTTATTTGGTTTGAATTGTTCTTTAAAAACTATCACTATCATGTGGCTAATGAGATATTAAAATCATGTTTAATGAAAAAATACATTCTTTTTTGCCAATATATTTCATGTGCATATTTATGATATAATCTGCATATTAATCCGTAATCTATTAAGTATTGTTATTCAAGATCAAGAATAGTGACACTATTAAAAGTTAATATTTGTGATATTAACCATAGTGTGAATTTATTTGAATTTTACTATTGATACAAATATAAATAAATTGAGAATTGATTTATAAATATATTTATATTGATCAATTATAATTGACATTAAAATTATTTATTATTTTGATGTCATGTTACCAAGATAAATGACAAACCAATAAAAAAAATCCAATATTTTTATACGGATATATTGATCATTTTGGATACAAAATCAAGGGACCAAATTTATGTGGCATTAGAGATAATGAGAGTTTTGCCAAATCTAAAAAATATTTCAAGTCTCTAACAATATTTACAGTACGATAAGTATAAAAATCAAATATTCTAAATGTTAAATTATTGAAGTTCTTTCATTTTTACCTTATTTATTTGAAATTACTTTTGATTGTGAAAGTATGTGATACTTTTATTTACTAGTAATTTTAGATTATTGTATAGATATTTACCGACCATGCTTAAGTGTTTTAATCTATAAATCGCGGTTAAAAAAAGAGAGAGAAAATGTGAATTATCATATAAATTCTTGTTCTTTAAGGATTGTAAAGTAATGTTGGTCACGTGATTGTTTTATTAACACTTGAAAGGTCACATAGTAAGAGTGAAAAAAATTATTATCACTTGTCTTAACACTAATAAATTGATTGAGTACTTGTTATCCGATCTTTTCGGTATATATGTTAAAAATGTGAGAATAAATCTTTATCTAAAGTAAAAAATTGGATGATACATCGAAGGGAATGAAACTAAGATCATAAATTAATAAAATCATCTATGTGGATATTCTACTTAGGGACTCGGAGATCTCAAAAACTTAGTTAAAAGAGGAGAATGGACACAGAGTGATTTGATTACCTACAAAATTTATTTGACTTATAATACTCATTTGTTTATCCATATGATGTAGTGCATGAATTCCATAACGAAAAAAGGTTAAGTTTATCTAGAAAGAACTTTTAATGTGGTTTATAGTTTTTTTTTTTTAATGGGATATTAGAGTTATAGAAACATCATTAATAAACACACCTATATATAATATTTGTTTTTACTAAAAAGTCTTAGTTCAAGATAATGTTTGTTGTTAGCTTGAGAACATAATTGTTGAAACACTAAGACTTTAAGTCATTGACATCGCTATTATATATTATATTTTTTCTTTATCCAAAAAATATGGCTAATCTTTTATTAAAAAATAAGTGAAAAATTATTGGAATAATTTTTATTAAAATATTAAAACCTATATTATTAAAAAAAAAATTAGTTTCAAAAGAATACATGAATGCTGTTTTGAAACATTTTTTATTAGCCAAAATTGTTTCAAAAGAAAGGCTAGTCGTTTGACAGAATGTCTCAAACGGCTAACATTTCATTGATTTTTCTTTATGGTGTCATTAAAAATCAAACGAGTCTCTCTTTATTTTCCGTTATATATATGTGTGTACTTGCAACTTGATTTAACACACAAGAACAATAATAATTCTTACATGGTGTGGAGGAAAAAGCTGCATTTTTCTCGCTTTCTTTAGAGAGAAACATATAGAACAATCTTATATATTTCTTAAATAAAAATAATTCTTTTATTTTGTCATTTTATTCTTCCACTATAAAGCCATATAATGTTTATTTATTTTCTGATGTTATTTATTTTATTTAGAGCTTTAAGTTTTATAAATAATATAAACTTGTTAAGACTCGATAAGGTGGTTGAACTTGTTGTATCCTTCAAACAATATGTAATATATAGTTGATTCTTTGCATTAGATAAATTCTACGGACAAGTGCATATTATATCAAGTAAGCAATCTGATTGTGTTTTAAGTTAGGTATCTAAAAAATTCAGTGAAACTAGTTTGATGGTTCGGTCATCTTTATACTATAAACATAGTAACATTATTTTAATTCCTAAATTTCCTAATAATCAAAATAAAAAGTTCTAATTTTTTATCTATCTTAATTTATAACGAAGTTATTTATTTATTGTGTGAATTTTTACTATTTAATTATTTTTTTTTTATGTATTAGAAACAACACAATGCAATGAATGACATGGTAGCAGGGGTGATTATTAAAATAATCCAAAATACTTTGTTGATGATTGCTAATGTGGAGCCGCAATGACTACAGTATCTTAGAAACATTAATCATTCGATACAATTTTCAATTAAATTGAATTATATGGGCAGATTAAAGTATCATGTCAAATTAAAATTTGAATTTATTTTCAAAGTATAGTGTTGAACTCAAGTGATGGATACTCCCATACACTTCAATTTTTTTCATGTCAAATACATTGAGTTTAGGTTTAAGTACGGGAAATACCAATGGAGATGGTTATATTATCCCATAATAGCTGCTGGCGACACAATAAAAATTTTAACTTGATAATTAAAGAGGTTTGATTCTTTTTTAATATTTTGAGTTCGAACTAATAATGTTTTTTTTTTTTTACCGTGTCAGACCCATATAAATGATATATTTTTAAAAAATTGTTAAAAAATAAAATTAATTTTAATTGATATAAATTAGTTCAAAGATATCTTTATTGTTAAATAAAAAATTAATAAAAAATAATTTATTATTGAAAAAATAATAATAATGGTAAAAGAATTGAAGAAAAAAATGATAAAAAATTATTTTATTGTGAAATAAAATAAACACAAGTGATAGCAACTCCAAAACAAATCTCTCAATCTCGTTAAAAATTTTAAAAGAAAAAAGTCGAGTGGAAAAAAATCTTAGTGAAAGAAAAGGAGTACAATATTTCTTGTACATATTAATTCTCATGTTGGGCTCCATTATTGAAAATATTGTTTAAGATTTATAAGACGATGCATCCTAATCTTATGAATCATCTTCTAAAAAAATTTAGTAGGTAATACCTCGGTGAACAAATTTGTTGGATTATCATTTGATCAAATTTATTGAACATTAATATCACTATTATATTGAAGATTATGTGTGAAAAATAATTTTATTGATATATATTTTGTTCTGCCACTTTTGATATACCTTTTTTTTTATTGAAATATGCAAATAATATTATCTTCATATAATATTATTCGAACTTTCTTCCTAATGGATAAGTAACATATCTCTCGGATACGATGGGTCATTGATATTAGCTAAACATATTCTCAATTTGCTTCATAAATTGCTAGTTTTTTTTCATCCATAGTTTAAATATATAACATCTATAGTTTGTTTCATAAAACGTCATTATATAGTTATATCACTATGTGTAAATACATAACCAGTTTGTTATTAAATTTTGTGTGCATCCGATAAACGACATACATCTACATAACTAATTAATACCGATTATGTTTTATTGGAGTAAAGTAAGTCTATATCAATTATTTCTTAGAGATGATGTAGTATATGTTTAATCATATTTCAATATCTCAATGTTGCAGCAGAACTATTCTTACTAATAAATTCATAAAAAATGCTATATCGGATTGGGTATTATTAGCGAGATACATCAATAAGGTATAGTACTTTAAGACCAAAAATTTTTCTATTATCTTCTCAATGTCGAACATGATCTTTTTAGACATCAAATGAACGAACTACTATTGGACTAGTCAATAGATGAGTCTTATCCATATAAAATCATTGTAGTATCTTTTCTTTATAAGTTGACTAATAAATAAAAATCTCATCCTTTAAGTTTTCGAACTACAAGCCAAGATAAAATTTTGTTTTCCCAAGATCTTTCATGTCAAATTTTCTTTTTAGATAACTTATGGCACTTAAAATTTTTTCAGAATTTTCAATAATAGTTGAATCATTAACATATGCAACAATTACTATAAACTCTTTTCTGGATTTCTTTATCAAGATGCAAGGACAAATAGAATTATTTTTATAACTTTCTTTCAACAAATACTCACTAAGACAATTATACCATATGCACCCATATCTTTTTAATCCATATAAAGATATTTGTAATTTAATTGAATATTTTTTTTGAGAATGTAGTTTATATATTTTAGATATCTTAATTCATTCCGGCATTTTCATATAGATATCATTATCAAGTGAACTATGTGGATAACTTATGATGACATCCATTAAATACATATAATTTTTTAATGTGCTATTAGGCTAATGAGATAACAAAATATAATTACATCCATTATAACAGAATATTTCTCCTCGTAGTCAATGTCAAGCCTTTGTAAAAATCCTTTGTGGTATAAGTCTTGTTTTGTACCTCATAATTTCATCTTTTTTCATTTCTTTTTTTTTTTTTTTTGCACAAATACTCATTTGTATCCTACTGGCTTAGCATCTTTAGGTGTTTTAACAATGAATAAAAAATTACTCATTTTGTAAAAGAATTTAATTCTACATGTTGTAAATATGGTAAGTAGATATTTACATGTTGTAATTATAGTAAGTAAATACATAATTATAGGAGTATCCTAAATAGGGTAGGTGTGTGTGTGTACTAATCTCTTCTATAATGAAATACAAGAGAATTTAGTTTCATCTCTATTTACATGGTATCGAGCCATTGCCATTGTTGCCGTAATGAGCTACCATGTTTTTCTTCTTTTTGTTGCTACCTTAGTAAGCCTTCATTGCCTTGTTGCCTTATTTTCTTTCTTCTTCTTTTTTATGGTTGATGGAATAAAGAAAAAAACTATGATCTCTAATGTTACTACTACAACAACAAAGATTGCAGAACATAAACTCAATGGATGAAATTTTTTAGATTGGATTAAAACGGTGCGAGAGTATCTCCAGATTATTGATCAAGACGATCATCTTACTAATGATCCCCCAACCGATGATTTGAAAAAAAAAGGGCTTGGTTGAGAGTAGATGTCAGAATATATTTATAGATTCAAAACTCTATTAACGACAAGGTAATCGGTCTAGTTAATCACAATAAGTTTGTTAAAGATCTCATGGATTATTTGGCTTTTTTATATTCTAGTAAGGGTAATATTTCTCATATTTATGATGTATGTAAGGAGTTCTATTATCTAGAAAAACAAGACAAAACCCTTATTGAATATTTCATGAATTTCAAATGACTTTATGAGGAGTTGAATTCTCTCATTCCTCTTAGTGTTGATGTGAAGGCTCAATGGTCTCAATATGAGTAGATGGTCGTCATGAGCTTTCTTATATGTTTACCACCTCGAATTTGATACTGCTAGCATATAAATCCTTTCTAGTCTAAAAGTTATCTCTCTTCATGACACCTTCACTCGAATATTACATATAGAGACATCTCAACCTCCTTTTAGTATTACTAGTTCCCTTATGAGTAGAGGTAGTTGGAATGAGAGAGGTCAAAGTGGCGAGAGATGGTCAACATAATTCTGGATTTTGAGGTGCTAGGACTAATAATTAAAGAGGAAATGGCAATCATAGATAAAATGATTAAAACACACCAATAACATGCTATTTTTATAGAAACCATGGTCATATAAGACATATATATTAGAAACTTTATGGAAAACCTTCAAATTCAATTCATGTTACAAACTTTACAACTCAAGAGGTTAGTCATGCCTTTTCCTCATCCGAGAAGTCTATAATGGTGTTTGCTAATGACTTTGCTTAATTTACTTAGTATCAGTCCTTACTAAATTCTTCTAACCCCTCTAACGCTAATAGTGATAAGACAAGTAAACCCACTACATGCCTTGTGTCATCCTCTTCCAAATGAGTCATTGATTCGAGTGTTATGGATCACATGACAAGTAATACAAATATTCTATTCTTCTTTGTTTCACTTAAATGTCTTTTTAATCCCACTTTGGCTAATGGGTCAATCATATCAATTATAGGAATAGGAAAAACTCTTTCTACGTTATCTCTCTTTTTCTATCTATCTTGTGTTTATCCATTTTTTATTTAATCTACTATCGATCAGGTAAAATCACATAATTTCTTAATTGTTATTTCTCATTTTTTTTCCTAACCATTGTGTATTTCGGGATCTTACATCGAGAAAGATTATTGGTAGAGGATGTGAGTTTCGAGGGCTGTATCATCTTCAACCTATACCATAACTTATCGCTTGTTCCAGTATCATCACACCTTTTAAGTTGTATTATTGATTGGGGCATCCTTCTTTATTTGTTTTAAAGAAATTATTGTTACGGTTTTAGAATTTATCTTCTTTAGAAGTGAGTCATGTTAGTTTGTTAAAAACTATCGTGTGTTATATTTTCCTAGAGTCAATTAACGAGTTATATCACTTTTTGAGTTAGTTTATTCTGATGTTTGGGATCTTTATCCTATGACTTCTACAACTAGATTTTGATATTTTATCATATTTATTGATGACTATTCTCATCTCATTTGGTTATATTTAAAGAAAAGTCAATTAAAATTATTTTCTATATTTTATGCCTTTTGTGTTGAAATTAAAACTTAATTTAATGTTTCAGATCATGTTTTAAAGAGTGGTAATACAAAAGAGTATTTCTTTAAGTCATTCAATACATTTATGACATAAAATGAAATTCTACATAAATCATCATGTGTTAGCACACCACCTCAAAATGGTGTTGCTGAATGAAAAACATAGATATTCACTAGATTTTGCTAGAGCCTTTCTTTTCTAAATAAAAGTTCCTAAATAATTTTGGATGATGTTGTGTCTATAACATGTTATTTAATCAATCGGTTGCCCTCTTCTACTCTTTCTAGTGATACTCTTCATTTTGTTTTATTCACTTCTCGAGTCCTTATTTCGATAGAACTATATGTCTTTGATTGTATGTGTTTTGTTTGTGATGTTAATCCCAAAGTGTCTAAGTTAGATCTTAAACCTCTAAGTGTGTCTTTTTGAGCATTTTCATCTTTGGAAGGGTTACATGCGTTATTCTGCTACTTTAGATCATTATTTGATTTCGATGATGTAATATTTTTTTAGGCTATCTCATTTTTTCATGAACCTATTACATATCATTATGAGGGAGAGGAAAATGATATTCTAATATATATTATGACTATAACTACTAAATCTCATACACCCATTAAGCCACTTATCACCCAAGCTTACTCCCGTCATACTTATCCACGAGACCCACAACAAAATCGGGACTCACATCCTCTATCGGCTTTTCCCTCTACAAATCCTAGTCTTGATC